AATTCCACATATAAGTGAAATCATATGATATTTGTCCTTAACTTATTTAACATAGTGTAATACTCTCCAGGTACATCCACATTGTTGCAAATGGCAAGATCTCATTCTTTTTTATGGCTGAGTAATATTCCACTGGGGATGGATATATATATATATATATATATTTTTTTTTTTTACTCAATGCTTATGCACCATATTTCCTCATAAATAGTCATAAGTTTCTCTGCCCCTTTCATCAATATATACATAATATCAACCCCTATGATTATAAAAATATGTATAAAATATATACATTAATATATGGAATATTGGATGATCATATATATATATATCTCTCTCCACATATTAATCCATTCATCTACTGATGAACACTTAGATTGCTTCTATTTCCTTGCTTAAATAACCATTAGTGGAAATGTTTGATCATATAACATTTCTTTTTGTTTGTTTTATTGCATTTTTTAATTTAAATTCAATTAGCAAAGGTATAGTGCATCATTAGTTTTTGATATAATGTTCAATGATTCATCAGTTGCATATAACACCCAGTGCTCATCACATCACGTGCGCTCTTTAATGCCCATCACCCAGTTACCCCGTCCCCCCACCCACCTCCCTTTCTGCAGCCCTCAGTTTGTTTCCCAGAATCAAGTCTCATTTTGTTTGTCTCTCTCTCTGATTTCTCACTATTCAGTTACCCCACCCCTATTTTCCTCAGCACCATTCCTTGTGTTCCACATATGAGTGAAAATATATGGATAGTTGTCTTTCTCTGATTGACTTATTTCATTTAGCATAATACATTCCAGTTCCATCCATGTCCATGTAAGTGGTATGTATTCATCCTTTCTGATGGCTGAGTAATAGTCCATTGTATATATGGAGCACATCTTCCTTATCCATTCATCTGTTGAAGGACATCTTGGCTCCTTCCACAGTTTGGCTATTGTGGACATTGCTGCTATGAATATCGGGGTGCATGTGCTCCTTCTTTTCACTAAATCTGTATCATTGGGGTAAATACTCAATAGTGCAATTGCTGAGTCGTAGGGTAACTCTATTTTTAACTTTCTGAGGAACCTCCATACTGTTTTCCAGAGTGGCTGTACCAGCTTGCATTCCTACCAACAGTGTAAGAGGGTTCCCCTTTCTCCACATTCTCGCCAGCACTTGGTGTTCCCTGTCTTGTTAATTTTAGCCATTCTGACTGGTGTAAGATGGTATCTAATTGTGGTTTTGATCTTTATCTTCCTGATGGCAAGTGATGTGGAGCACTTTTTCATGTGTTTATTTGTTATTTGTATGTCTTCTTTGGAGAAGTGTCTGTTCATGTCTTCTGCCCATTTCTTGACTGGATTATTTGTTTTTTGGGTGTGGAATTTGAGAAGTTCTTTATAGATCTTGGATACCAGCCCTTTATCTGTAATGTCATTTTCAAGTATCTTCTCCCATTCTGTAGTTTGCCTTTTCGTTTTGTTAATTGTTTCCTTTGCTGTGCAGCTTTTTATCTTGATGAAGTCCCAATAGTTCATTTTTGCTTTTGTTTCCCTTGCCTTTAGAGATGTGTCTTGAAAGAAGTTGCTGTGGCCAATGTGGAAGAGGTTACTGCCTATGTTCTCCTCTAGGATTTTGACTGAAACTAATGACAGAACTTGTGATAAGCACCAGGTGTTGTCTGGAAGTGTTGAATCACAAAATTGTACACCTGAAACTAATATTACACTGTATGTTAACTGTTAATTTAAATTAAAAAAACTAGTTTTGTTTTGTTTTGTTTTGTTTTTTTGTCTTTAGCTCATGTCACCTACAAACAATTAATTTTACTTCTTTTTTTCCAATTTGGAAGAATTTTATTTATTTTCCTTGACTAATGGCTCTGGCTAGGATTTCCAATACTATGTTGAAAGTTAATGGTTGAGTGTGAGCATCTCTATTTTATTCCTAATCTTAGAGAGAAACTTTTAGTCTTTCACCATTGAGTATGATGCTCCACTCTTGGATTTTCATATATGGCCTCTATTATATGGAGGTTGTTTCCTTTTATTCCTAGTTTGCTGAGTGTTTTTATCATGAAAGCTTGTTAAATTCTGTCAAATATTTTTTCTACATCTCCTGAGGTATTAATGTAATTACCTCCCCCTTTATTCTGTGGTGTGTCACATTGATTGATATTTATTTGTTGAACCACCCTTATGTTCAGGGAAAATCTCACTTGATCAAATTGTATAATCCTCTTAATGTGCTATTGAATTTAGTTTGCTAGAATTTGTGGAGATAACAGTGATCCTCTTTCCATTTATTTTTTACAAAGAAAACTGAAAATTTGCTTATGGCCAAGAGAAAGGAGACAGTTTCACTCTTTGTTCCTCATGGAAAAAAAATTGCCAAGTACTGGGTTGCAGGTATGCAAGCTTTTGACAACCTGAAAGCTGCTTTTTATAATTCAAGGAGATCAGATTATTTTAATGCCATAACAATTGAATCCAACTGTTAAAGTTATGCTTCCTCAGCCAACCCTGAAATTCTGAATTCTCTCATTGTTCTTAAGAGCAGCTCATACCTTCTTACTCTTAGACATGTTTAGGTAGATGAATACATTTGTCACTTGGGTATATATGAGCAAAAATGATCTCTGTGTTATTTAGAAAAACACTTATGTTTCAGGATTTTTTGTTGGAAGAATTGGATCTTTGGGTGGTGCTCTGAAGACATCAATAAGTTATTTCATATTTCACTTTATTTTATTATTTTATTATTTTCACGCAATAAGATTGAAACAGATGACCTCTAGTTATATCCATGATTCTCATAATCAAACTTGTCAAGTCCTAAAATCTCTTAAAACAATTCAAAGAAATATGCTAACATATGGTTATAAATAGATATGGCAACCTAGGTGGCTTTTCACCTTTTTCAGGAGGAATCTACTGATCATTATACTCTTCATAACTGCTATGACATCCTTGTTTCTCAGGCTATAGATGAGGGGGTTAATCATAGGGGTAAGAATGGCATTAAACATAAAGAGGGACTGGTTTATTTTTGGGGTTTTAGAAGAACCTGGCCTCATGTAGACTAATATGGCAGGGCCAAAGTAGAGAGTGACCACACAGAGGTGGGAGAAACATGTGGCCAAGGCTTTGTTCTTGCCTTCAAGGGAGTTCATGCGGAGGACAGCAAGGAATATGTGGATGTAGGAAGCCAGGATGAGACTCAGAGGGATGAGGACCACCAGAAAGCTTGAGACCACCACTGACTTCACATAGGCTGAAATGTCCCCACAGGTGAGCTTCAGGAGTGCCATGACCTCACACAAGAAGTGTGGGATCTCTCGAGGATGACAGATTGGTAAGTGCATGACATAGGCTGTATGAACTAGGGAAGTTATTGCCCCTCCTACCCAGGACCCAATGACCATCTGTTTACAGATGGTATGGCTCATCAAGACTGAGTAACGCAGTGGATTGCAGATGGCAATGTAGCGGTCATAGGACATAAGGGTCAGCAGAAGGCACTCAGAAATTCCCAAGGTTAAGCTGAATAAGATCTGGGCTCCACAGCCTATCTGTGATATGGTTCTTTTCCCTGAGAAGAAGTTTGTGACTATTTTGGGGACAGTAGTTGAGATCAAGGCCACATCAATAAGGGAGAGCTGGCTGAGCAGGAAGTACATAGGAGAGTGGAGTCGAGAATCCAGCAAAATGAGGAGAATGAGAACAGCATTGGCCATTACAGCCATAAGGTAGACCAGAAGAATGAGGCAGATAAGGATCACAAGGTGGCTAAGCTCAGGCCAGAGCCCCAAGAGAATAAAATCTGTGGTGACAGTCTTATTGTTTCTCTCCATGGCTGAGCATCATTGCCCAGAAAAGAATGATAAGAGCACTATTCCATCCAATGTGTTATTGTACATCTGGTCTACTTTTCTTACTCTCAGGACTCCTCTCTCAGCTTGTTGTTATCTCTTTAGTATTAGAAATAACTTCTTGACATATAAAATTTTCATTAATTATATCTCATGAATTTCTCAATAAATTACAATTTATACACTGTAGCTATTGTTACAAACTATAATCACTAATAGTAACCAAATAAGAACACAGGTACATTTAATGTTCTATCAACTAAAAGCTAGTCAATTTGATGAAAATGTATCATGTGTATTTGTTAAAGCATTTACAAATACATCACCTTGAGGTCTTGTGCAGATATAACTACAACAGAAGAGTTATGATCATTTTAGATTTATAAAAGTCAACATTTTCACTCAGTCTTGGGAGACTTCAGGGAAAATGAAGAAGATTCTCCTGAAGATGGGAAGAAAAGGTTTTGATAACCTGAGGACAGAAAAGCATTTTCAGAATTGAGCATTGTCTGTGCTTACCTTTTCTCCCCCACATAGGGAATTTTCCCATTTGCCCATGAGTCCTCCTTGCTCTAATCCCAACTCAAGTATCTCTTAAGTCAAGTAAACTAGAACAGAATTTCTAATCATGGTACCATTATTTAAGAAGACACCTAATAAAAATGGTTGTTGCTAGTTTCACAGAAATTTTCCTATTCTGCATGAAGTTTATTTCTGTCATCAAGGTAATTCAAGGTACTAGTTGATGCTGTACAAAAGTGAGACAGAAGGTAATGATGGAGATTAATAGGGTCCATCTTACAAGAAGTGCTTTATTTTAAAAGGTAAAATATCTATTTTAGCAAAGGTTTGGTTGGACATATAAACTGTAGAAGCAGATGCAGTATTGTAGATCAGTTAAAAACACAGCCTCCAGAGGATCAGTACCAGAGTTTGAAGCTTCATTAAATCACCATATTTACCTGCCTGATGGCCTTTGTGTACTTGGATCATCCTTCTGTGTCTGTCTTCCTTCTTCTGTAAAATTGGACTGAAGCCTACCCACACCACAGGAGTGACATACAGATTAAAAGAATTAGTGAGAACATTGTCTGGCCAACAGGTTTAAATGCCTATATTAGGCATATTTTGAAGTTCAATTGACATAAATGGCAAAATCAGTGCCTTCATGTCCCTTAGCAGTCCCAGAGATGTGCATATATGTATAGCCAGTCAGAGTGATTCCACTGTTTCTTGCAGTTTTCACCTGTACCTGTAGGTACAATTAAAAATAATGTTAAGGACAAGAATTTATAGCACATGTATGAGTGTGATGGGGGAAGTGTGGTGAACAATCCATAAGTTTGAGACATATATTTTTCAAAAACGAGTGAGTAGAGAAAAAGCAATTCAGTTTAATTTGAAGTCCTGAAGTGTATTACCCACTTTCAAAGTCCTAGCTCAAATGCTCTCTTCTGTGGTCCTGAGACATGGCTTCACTTCTCCTCCTATCTTTTATATTCATCAATCTCTCATGGTGCATATTGCATTCTGCCTTATACCATAATTATTAATGGACAGATATCCTTTCCCTGAACCCCTTAGTTTGGTAATATTTTCAGAAGAGGGGTTCTGTTTTGTTTTTGTTTTTGTTTTCCTCCTTTGTAAATATTTTGAACACTCAAGCCTGCCTAGGCCTGTAACTTGAAGATGTAGGTTATCAGTAATTGTGTGATAATAAACTTTGCATATTTTCTACTTTATAGCTTTTGAAAAGTTAATAATGTGATATCTGATTTTTAGTTTCATGGGGCTTATGAAATAAAGTATTGCAGTTACTTAAAGTTGCCTATGAAAACATGCCTGTACCCTCCTCCAGACCTATTGAATCATATTCTACATGCAGTTCTTATAACTAGACCAGATAGAGGAATATGGATGTAGTACAATATTCCTTGTTTATAAACAATTTCCTTGTTTATACAAGGAAATGATACTCATTGAAATTAAGGGACTTGGCCAAATTGATGCAGTGACATGTGATAATTGATAGTTCACAGAGTAAGTCAAGTAAGACTTGAAATCCTATCAGATATATCTTTCAGCTACATCCAATACTGTATTGTAAATTATTTACAGAACAATAAAAATCTTATTTTTTCCATTTTTTCAGTATACATCTGAGATTATACATTCCCATAAAATCAAGAATTTTTCTGCTAGATTTAAATAATATTACATCAAAAACTAATGATGTACTGTATGGTGACTAACATAACATAATTAAAAATATAACTAAATAAATAAATAAATAAATACTTATGCTAAAGTAAATGAATTGGAGATTTATGTATTGACAAATTTATAACTTAATACCTCACTCTTTCCATAACTCATTTCACTGATTCACTCAGTTATTCTTTCACTCTACACATGTCTATTGAGTTCAGTGTCTATGCTGGGCAAATTCTAGACTATAAGGTTACAAAGATATATGAACATCACCTCTGGCATCAGTAAGTTGAGGGAAACAGACCATTATTAAAATAAAATGTGATATTGGTTTTAAAGGAAATTGTTCAAATGTTACAAAGAAGTAAGGGGAGACTTTCTGTTGGAGATAATATTTTAATTACATCTTAAAAATGTGGAAGAGCTTTCCCATTTGAAAAAGGGCATTCCAGCTGTCAGGAACACCGTGCATAAAGAAGCAGGACAGCAGAGAATAACATGGAAAGTTCTTCAGGGCTATGGTTTAGACTTTCTGGATAAAAGTGAGAGGAAGTGAGATGTAATATTAGAAGTAACTTGCAAATGGGAAAGGGAAAATTGGGCATTGATATGATCATGATGGAGAGGAAATACAGTGGAAAGGTTAATGAATTCAATAATATTTTATTAAACCAAACTTTGGCCAAATTCTGGAAATTTGCAGATGCTCAGTGCTCAATGCATGTTTCCTGAATGCTGGCTGTTATAAATGTCAGGAACTCTGATCGTGTGTTGTGCTGCTTATAATCATTCACAGTACTCTCTGTGGGTGTGTCATAATAAAGCACCCTACCTAGTTTGTCAGAGTCATATAAACAATGGTTCATATATCATTTGGACAAAAAAAAATTAGTTGTTGCCTGGATCTTAGAACTGTTGTACTCTGTGTGGAAGAGCTGTAACATCTTTGCCATTTTCACCATACAGACTGGTTTGTAAGGATCATAAGGGACACAGGGAGGACAAGAACTCTTTTCATTTATGATGATGTACATATATATATGAACCGTGAGATCAATGCATTTTGCCTTTACCATAGTTATTTTCCTGACTTAAGCCAAATTATGAACAGGACTGTCACCTACTTGAATCCTTTTTCAGATGGTTTCCCTGGCCCACTTCTTGTACTCAGCATTCACAGGTTTTCTGATATTTCCAAGTATGCTCCCAGTAATTGATCTGCTGCATATATTGTTCCAATGTTTAATCTCTTTGCGTGATGGGGAGACTAAATTTTTAGCAGCGGAAAAAGCCTGAATGCCAAACGTTGTCAGAGCAATGGGGAAATTTGGGAGTCCTCTTGGCCCATGACAGGTCAAGCTATATATAAGTAGCTGCCCACTCCTCCCACCAATAAGAATGATACCTTATGGTGTCCTTTTCTCTGCACTGTCCCCATATTGCTCTCTTAGTTTTTACCAATCCTCTTTTATCCACTTAATTTTCCACCTTCTTTTTTTTTTTATCACTTTCATCCATACTGTCATCTTTTCTTCTCATCCAAAAATCAACCCTCCACAAAGCTTTACTTTTGCCCTATTATTCTCCTCTCTCTTACTTATAGGCCTGGTATAGGTTCAGAGTCAAACAAGAAGAGTTACAATATTTTTTCCTGAGATAGATTTTAATCAAGCAATTGTTATTTACTCATAAATGCATTCTGCCACTCAGAAGTGAGTATTATGATAGATGAATTTAGGGGACACAGTATATCTGTTGATGGATCTATTTCTACTCAGTTCCTTTTTAAAGAGAATAAAGATTTGAGTTTGCCTTTTGCACTTAGTCAATGTAAATATATAAAAAATCAATATATAGGGAAACAAAGCCATCTTAGAAGTATTCAGTGAAGAAATAGAATCCATTTGTTTGGCACTAAAAACACCTTAGTTATAACAATTAGATTTACCACTTTGAATGTTCATTGACATTAAAACACATTTAGTACAACTCATCACCTTAACAACAATGATAATAATAATATAATAGTTTCTGGTCACTCAACAAATACTAGTGCTTTACATGCATGGATATATAATTGAATTCTCTCAATAATCCATAAGATAAGAATTAATGTGAATTGAGGAATCTATTCTATTTACAATTGCACCAAAAGCAAGAAGATACCTAGGAATCAACCTAACCAAAGAGGTGAAAGACCTGTCCTCAGAAACTATAACATACTGATGAAAGAAGCTGAAGATGACACAAAGAAATTGAAAGACAATCCATGCTCATGGATTTAAAAGAAGAATAGTTAAAATAGTTTGCCACCCAAAACAGTCTATGCATCTGATGCATTCCCTATCAAAATACCAACAGCATTTTTTGCAGAGATAGAACAAACAATGCTAACATATGAATGGAACCACTAAAGACCCTAAATAGCCCAAACAACATTGAAAAAGAGAAGCAAAGCAGGAGGCATCAGAATTCCAGACTTCAAGTATTATTACAAAGTTGTAGTGATCAAAACAGCATGGTACTGGCACCAAAATATACAAATAAATCAATAGAACAGAATAGAACACCCAGAAGGAAACCCACAACAATATTGTCAATTAATCTTCAACAAAATAGGAAAAAATACCCAATGGGAAAAAGATGGTGTTAGGAAAACTGGTCAGGATCATGCAAAAGAATGAAACTGACTGCTTTCTGACACCATAAACAAAAATAAATTCAAAATGGATGAAAGACCTAAATGTGAGTCATGAAACCGCAAAAATTCCAGAAAAGAACACAGGCAGTAACCTCTTTGACACTGGCCATAGCAACTTCTTACTAGATATGTTTCTTTAGGCAAGGGAAACAAAAGCAAAAATAAACTATTCAGACTACAACAAAATAAGAATGTTTCTGCACAGTGAAGGAAACAATCAATAAAACTAAAAGACAACCCATGGAATGGAAGAAGATATTAGCAAATGACATATTTGATAAAGGGTTAGTATATAAAATATATAAAGAACTTATAAAACTCAACAACCCAAAACTGAATAATCCAATTTAAAAATGGGCTGATGACATGAATAGACATTTTTCCAAATGTCTATTGGATGGAATGGAATGGAATGGAATGATCCATTCCAAAGATGGCCAACAGACACATGAAAAGATGCTTAACATCATAGGGGATCATCAGGGAAATATAAATTAAAATTGCAATGCAATATTACATCACACTTATCAGAATGGCTAAAATCAATAACACAAGAAACAGGCTTTGGCAAGGACGTGGAGAAAGGGCAACCTCTTGCACTGTTGGTGAGAATGCAAACTGTTGCAGCCACTGTGGAAAACAGTATTGAGGTTCCTCAAAAAGTTAAAAATAGAACTACCATATAATCCAGCAATCGGAATTCTAGGTAATTATTTAAGAATATAAAAATACTAATTCAAAGGTATACATGCACCCCAATGTTTATAGCAGCATTACCTACATTAGCCAGAATTTTGAAACAGCCCAAGTCCTCATTGACTGATGAATGGATAAAGATGTAACACACACACACACACACACACACACACACACAATGAAATATTACTCAGCCATAAAAAACAATGAAATCTTGCCCTTTCCAAGGACATGGATGGATCTAGAGAGTACTATCCTAAGTGGAAAAGTCAGTTAGAGAAAGACAAATACCATATGATTTCACTCATACGTGGAATTTAAGAAAAAAATGAAAATAGGAAAAATAAAAAAGAGAGAGGCAAACCAATAAACAGACTCAGCTATAGAGGTAAACTGAGGGTTACCAGGGGGATGGGTTAAATTGTGATGGGGATTAAAGAGTATATTTGTTGTGATGAGAACTGAGTGTTGTATGTAAGTGTTGAATCACTATACTGTACACCTGAAATTAATAGTGTATGTTAACTAACTGGACTTTAATTTTTAAGATTTTATTTATTTATCTGACAGAGAGAGAGAGAAAACACAAGCAGGAGGAGCAGCAGAGGGAGAGGGAGAAGCAGGATCCCCGCTAAGCAGACAGC